GATTCAAACACGAGTTTTGGGCAGTGTAGAGTAGGGCTTGTTGTTTGTCATTTCTCCGATCACAAATGCAGACATGGTTTTATGTTTACGCGGCGCAAAGCAATGCAATGTGTAAAAAGACAGTATAAGTCATTATAATCCATAATTATGTCTCCACTGGATGCAACAAATGCCTCGTTTGTAATGGGTTTTAATGTTTTTGTCTTGTCGCTCCGGCCGGACACGGCATCACAGTATGGTAAGGGGCGTAACATTTCCGTCACACGCTTGAGGTATTCGGCCAATCACAATGCACTGGATAGCTGGCCAATCAGAGCACATCTCGCTTTTCAGACCGATGAGCTTTGTAAAAATTTCAGAAAGGTGGGGCATAGAGGAGAAACAATAACGTACAGTATGTGGAAAATAATGTGTTTTTTGAACCTTAAACCGCATAAACACATTTCATTACACCAAATACACAACATGATGTTCTTTTTAGCAACATCATATGACCCCTTTAAAAAAACAGCTGTTTTTTTTCCCTTCATGATAGCAGACTCCGGTAATATAAATATCTACTGATGAACATCTCCACCATTGACTTCCATACAAACGTAAAGTCCTCTTGTCACCCTGTTGGGATCCTGCCTCATAATGTCTTTAAACGGACCCTGAAGGTTCTTGCTGAAGGAGGGTACGGTATGACAGCACTGAGATGTTTCTCAGTCAGTATCACTTCACTCATCTGTGCTTAACAGGGCCGCTGCTGGCCAAATGGGTGCCCTAAGCAGATTATATTGTTGTGCCCCCTCCCTCAAATATTACTGAAGTAAAAAAAAAACACCTATAAAGAATCAAAATAGAACTTTAATAAACTATATAAAAGTACATAAATAAATTGTATTATATATAAATTACAATTGTAGCTCTAGACAGTTACCTATGGCTATGATGTTATTAATACAGTTGTCTGATTGATTTTATAGTCTCAAGCATTCAGAAATCACACAAAAGAAAATTAAGCAGTTTTACTACGATAAAACCATGGTTAATTTTGGTAAGGGTTGTGATGTCCACATGTTTTTGTCGAAGAAATTAAAGAGGCTGTAGCATTTCTATCACAAAAAGGTGGCCAAAAATGAAAGATTAAGTGGATGTTTGAATTAAATGTTTGTTCATTACTAAACAAGGATTTGATCGTAAGTGTAACAACAGCAATTATCAGGCCTTTGGCGCCCTTTGCAGGCATTTGTAAGAATGTAATGTACATAAATTGTTTATTTTGTATTACATTATGTATTTTAACAGTGTTATTCACTGAAACCATATGATTATTATTAATTAACCAATCATTATTGCCTCATTGTTTTTATATAATGCATTTTAAGTCATGGAAACTAGAATATTAAGGCAGATGCGGTGGTGGTGAAATTATTACTGACACTAAGACACGTTATTAGCGTTAACGTCAACAGCCAAAAAAGTTTCACAGGAGAGAAAAAGTTTCACTTAAATTACACTCTAAAAAAATGCTGGGTTGTTTCAACCCAACTTTGGGTCAAATATGGACTAACCCAGCCGTTGGGTAAAACTTTTACATTCAATTTTTAACCCAAAAGTTGGGTTAGTTCATATTTGACCCAAAGTTAGGTTGAAACAACCCAGCATTTTATAGAGTGTAGCTAAAAGTGATGCACGGGCTTCATCTTGGGCTTTTTTATTTTGTTTTTCTCTGCGCTGGACTGCTCAAGTGCTCATGTCTTTTCCCGGGTATAGCCTAGTTGTCCATCAATTATGATCATTTGTATTCAGCCGCAAACATGAGGTGAGGGTGGTCCCGGGAGCAGATTTTTTTATGTATGTAATATATATCTGTTCATTTTTAGATTTGTATGTATGTATATGGTAATATTAATATAGAACTGCCCCCCTGGGAGTTGGTACCCTACGCAAACTGCGTACTCTGCGTATAGGGAGCGCCGGTACTGATGCTTACAGTGCTTCAGATCAGAGTGTGAGCGATGCTGACCCTTACCAAAAAGTAGTATACTTCAAGTTTATTTTATTAAGTATACTGAAGTAAAGTTCAAGTATATTTTTAAGTATACTTAATGTAGTAAGTATACAGATATCAGTGTACTAGTAGTATACTTGTAAGTGTACTATTTCAATACTCCTTGGGACTAAATTGGCCCACTTTCTAGTATATAAAAGTATACTTTTAAGTATACTTTAAGTATAACAGTAGTAAACTTTGCGTACACTAGTTTACATCAAAATGTTTAGTTTGTACTGCAACTATACTAAAAGTGATAGGTTATGGGTACTTATAGGTATACTGATAGTTTACTAATTAAATACTTGTAGTAGCATTTTTAGTACACTTTGAAGTATAGTCTCTGTAAACTACTAGTTTAGTAGTTTTATACAGCAAGTAGATTCTAGGAGCACAAGTATAGCTCAAATATATTTAGACTTTTTCTAAGTATAAGTCAAGTATACTTAAATGTCATTTTAAGTATATTTCTGAGAAGTACATAAAAAGTAGACTAAAAGTATACTTTCCTATGTTTTAGTTTAAAAGAAGTATACTAATAGCACACTTGAATAAACTTCTTTTTCGTAAGGGGAACTCAAGCGGAGCGAGAAACATCACTGTTTCTCTTACCAGGCCGTGGAAATGGAAAACCACTTACATACGCTGTTCTAGATTGCATTTCAGACACACAAAGCTTGATGCTTTGGCATTTTCATTGGCATTGAAGAAATATTTAAACTAACCAGGCATTTTTGACTGAAAAGTAAGTTACTATTAACTACTTTTTATATAAAGTAGTACCACACTAACAAGCATGGTGTTGTGAACATTTTAAAAGAAGATATCTCCGTTTGCATTGAACTTTCAGCTTCATAACTTTGCAGATATTGTTTATGCTCAGACAGCATCATTACACACTAACGCACGTTAAAAAAGTGAAATCGCAGTCAACCACCCCTTTAAGTTGTGGATATATATAATTCTCCCTTTTTTTTTGGGGGGGGGGGGGATTGGGGGTTGAAATGTCAGTTTTTGCATTCACTTTACTACAGTCAAACCTGATCGCAGAAAGACATTTTGTTACATATAACATCAAAGATCAACAAAAATGTAACCCAAATGAACAGAAATCCATATTGTTACAGCCACAGCAGTTCATTTGTGTGTGTGTGTGTGTGTGTGTGTGTGTGTGTGTGTGTGTGTGTGTGTGTGTGTGTGTGTGTGTGTGTGTGTGTGTGTCTGTTTTGTACTCTTGATATTTTAGTGTCACCCCTTCATTGCTGTGCACTTTTTTCTGCATCGTGAATGATTTATAGATTGTACACATACATTTTTTTTATTTTTGCGTATTTCCCATTCATTTCCGATGGCGTCAAAACAAGTGTGGCGTTTTTTTAATGAACATTTAGCTTTTTCGAATCAAGCCCACGGTTTTTTTTTTTGTTTGTTTGTTTGTTTTTTGGTCACATAGCGAGTTTCGTATACCATTCCGATGAAGAAGTTTTTTTAATTTTTAAAAGTCTAAAATGACCGAACAACACCAGAGGGTTAAGAAGTGCAATAGAAGCATTCATTGTTAATTCATGTTTACTAATGTATTTAACTAATGTTGGCAAATGAAACCTTGTAATGTTATTATTATTGCTTTTGTTTTAGTCATGTTTTATAATTTATTAGGCTATGCGCATTATTATACATATCCTATATTTTTTATATAAGCAATATGACTACTATATTAGTCAGATATATACTACGCGTCTCTTTATGGGATTTCTGAGTGGTGGAAGTCATGCACGAGTTCATCTGGACGGAAAATCTGATTTTCTCATGCTGAAGCTGTTTCGGTAAATAGAGCTGCGCGCGCGCGAGCGCACGCATGAGCAACAGTCGCGCGGCGGAGGATGCGCACAACACGAGCAACAGCCAATAGAGCTCATATAAAGCAGAACACGGTGAATTCCGACTCATCTGCTCGTTTAGAGTCATGAATGTGATCTAGGAAACGCTTCGCTCATTCAGTCGTTTTGGGGTCCTTTATTCTGGACCGGTTCGTCGTCACGGTTCGGCGGAGACGCTTCACATCACAGGTGACTGATTCCTTTTTCATCCTTTCTGCGTCCATGCTGTGGTATAGCAGGCTCTGCCTCACACGAATGCGAATGCATGTGAGATGTCGTATTCAGGATGAGCCTGGATAAATGAATTCATCTTGGCTCATGTGCGTCCCGTTTATTCCTAGAGATCCGTGAGCGCACATATTCCCTGATTTCATATCTAGCAAGGAATCCTCGCTTTGACCAGACCTGCGCGAAACGCTTTGCTGGAGAAAATCTTCCCATCTGATTCGGTGTGATGCACTGATGAGATTCTGATGAACGGATCGGGTCAAATCCGGAGGAGACGCGGATCTGGAGCCCATATGGAGAGGAACGAGATCATTTGTTCGTAAATGAAGATGAATCGAGAGCTGGTTTATGAGCAGAACCGGCTCTCCGCGTATAAACGGATCTCAGACAGATGTTCGGGTTATAACGCTTTGCTGGAGAAAATCTTCCCATCTGATTCGGTGTGATGCACTGATGAGATTCTGATGAACGGATCGGGTCAAATCCGGAGGAGACGCGGATCTGGAGCCCATATGGAGAGGAACGAGATCATTTGTTCGTAAATGAAGATGGATCGAGAGCTGGTTTATGAGCAGAACCGGCTCTCCGCGTATAAACGGATCTCAGACAGATGTTCGGGTTATGATAGACCAGATCTGAGGCCACATGCGATCGCACCCGCTTTATTCTGGTCTGGGTTGCGCTTAAAACAGCACGGGTTTGTTATGATGAGTTTAGCATATGAATCATCAGAGATCTGCAGTTATTGATCACTAATACAGGATCTTTCGTTAGGCTCATGCGTACCAGGAGAAGAGGGATCTCTCCCTAGTTGTAGTTATTGCAAATATTGTGAAGTCACAGCCTTTCAGTTGCAGCACAAATGTTGTTATTAATTTATAATGGTTAAACCATCTGTTCTCTCTCTCTCTCTCTCTCTCTCTCTCTCTCTCTCTCTCTCTCTGTATGTGTTTTCACATGCATATGTCTGTCATGATTTCCTACAGGTTCTGCGTGTGGTTTCGGCAGGTGCAGTTCACAGTATAACCTACTGATGGCAAAAGTCAAACTGCAATGAAAACAATTCTTGTAAAAACTATATAAAAACACACACCTGCTAGGCTACTTGAAATAACATATGATCTTATAACTATGTAAGTGTATTAAAAATACAAGAAATCATGACATGAATATAAATAAACGTTTAATAATGCATCATTTTCAAGTTTAAAAAAATGCATTTTATTAAAAAAATATATATAAATTAAAATATAAAAAACAACGTAATTTAATAATTTAGCATGAAAGCAATCACAGATCTTAATGCAAGTGGTGTTACTGCAACATAAAAATGCCAAAAAATAAATAAATATATATATAGAGAGAGAGAGAGCGAGAGAGAGCACAGCAGTCAATGATAAATTAATTATAATTTTTAATGGTAATAATTCTTGAGAATTTTTAATGATAACTATTTAGTGGAACCTTCAAATAAATTGATTATATATATATTTTTGCGCTGATTTTCTCTCTCTGTTTTTCTGCCTGTTCCATTAGATACGCAATACTGTTGCGTATCTAATCAGTATGTGGATGCAGAAACTGGGAGTCCTGATCAAGAGCAGCGTGTTCTCATTCAACGGGATCTAGACCAGAAAACTGGACTTCAGGACTGCAGGATTATCTGAGCATCACTAACAGTGTTTGGACTCCTCGCTGCATATCTCAGATCATCTATTTTGGATTATTCTTCTGAGGAGGAGTTTCTTTGGAGAGCATGATTACTTCCAGAGCTGGAATACTAGAGACTAATCTAGTTTTTGTGGGCAAATTCAATTACAGCGGCGAATCCCTCATGTGAACTGAGCAGCGTCTAATTTGTTTTGCTGTAGGACGTGCATTGACTTCTGCAGTTTGAGGGATCTTTCTTCGGCAAAATCAAGAGTTCTGAATGTTCACAATGTGTTTTCATTAAGAACTTTCTCTTGGAACTTTATTCCCTCCATATATTGGGACGAAAGCCATTCTGTTTGCTGTTGGTGTGGAGTTGAATCAAATGGCTCGACCCGGCTCTGGAGTGCTGGTGTCGCTGGGAGGCGGATACTCGTCTCAGAGCATGGCTAGGGTGGTGGTTTGGGAATGGCTGAACGAACACGGCCGCTGGAGGTCGTACAGCGCCGCCGTTTGTCATCACATCGAAAACGTCCTGAAGGGAGACGCACGAGGGACCGTCATATTGGGGCAGGTGGATCCACAGCTCGCACCCTACGTCATAGACCTGCAGTCCATGCATCAGTTCAGACAAGACACAGGTGAGTCACAGAGACATGTTTACTTATGTAATGTGGATTTGAATTGAATGTGAAACGGTGCGTTCAAATAAGTTCGCAAATTTATGAGTTGAATGCACTTGAACGCCATTCAAGTTGTAATTACGATTCAGAAACTCTGAACTTTTGGTGCATTCAACTCAAGTTGGGAGTCAGGTGTGTTCAAGCAAAGACTTTAGATATATTAAGAATAAGCTCCACCTTCTAGATAAAGAACCAATCGCCAATAGACTGCATAGCACCCGCCCACTTTTTCAGTGCCGCTGGTTCCGAAATTATTTTTCCCATTCATTTTTCCCATAGGGATTTTTAAAAAGTCTTCGTTAAATTGTTACACGCCATGAACCAAACCAACCAGCTATGAGGATAATCACAACTTGACAAACTTTGATTTGAAGCACAAAAGTATTTGAAAAGCAGAAAAAAAATACCAAGATACAAGACTGTGAATTTAACAACTTAAATGAGGAAAAGAACTACAATCCCATGAAGCACTGCGAAAGATATATGACGGAGAAATGTAAAACTATTAATTGAACGTTTTTGGTTGTATCTATAGATACAATGTATTTTAAGTTTATTGCAAAATATGCATATATATATACAAATATTTTAGTATTTTGAGAGCGTAGGGAGATCAGCGCAATTATGTCATATGCAGTGCATTCATGGGAGTGGGCGGAGTTTCAGATCTCTTATTGTACTCGGTTGTGACTAGAAGGGATACAGCCATGGCTGGAAGTGATGCAATATAGATTTTGCAAGACTTGCGTCACTTCTGGCCGTAGCTGCATCCCTTCTAGCCACAACAATAATCTGCGTCTATTGCATCCGCCATATTTTCTCACTGGCACGCCCCCAACTGAATGCATTTTTTAAATTTACAATAAAACTAGCTAAGTTGCATATACAAAATATCATAGTACTATGCAATTACAATAAAATACTGTATGATTAAATTTTACAGCACCTTCAGATATAGAATAAATGCACAAAAAAAGCAAAAACACACATAGTGTGCATTCTTTACTCATCATTTTATAGAAGTAGTCTACAAAAAATTAAGCAAGAAAATAGTACATTGCCATCTTGCTCCAATCAAAGTGACTCGCATCTGTTGTCATAATTACGACATCCCAACTCGTAAATACGAACTTCCCAGGAGGACTTGAGCGCACTAAATGTGTAGACTAGTTTCTAACCAGTTCCCACACACCAAAAGCACACCTTTCAAGGTTAAACGTTCAGCAGAAGTGCATCAGCAGAGAGACTGAATGGATCGTTTGAGGGAAGAACTCGTGTGATAGTGCATGAATGCATGCGTGTGTTTGCGGTACGTTGCATTTGAAGTCAGCTAGATGAACAAAGACAACTTGAGGGTTTTTGGATTGTTTGGGAAAGCTGTGCAGTTCCTACCAAGAGCAGATACTCTCTGAAGACAGTCTCTCTCCCCACACACGCATACACACACACACACGCACACACACAGATCGGCGCGTCCCCAGGGCTCTCTGTTCGTATGATGCCATTGCCGCAGGCCACTGTTTTCCCTTATGAGAGAACAAAGGACCTAAAGTAGAATGGTTCAGGGTTAAATTAGGACACGTGGGATGCTCTGTGGAAAACCGAGCTGTGTGTTATTTTGGTGCATGTTGGTGTTCATTACAGTACAGCTTTTGAGTGTGAAAATTTCCATTTCTATGGCAACAACATCACTAAAAAGTATTTCAAAATTCATGTTTTCCTTCAGAGTTTGGTCAGACAAACAGATGGTCCAGACCTCTGACTCGCATTGGTTGAGTAAATGTTCCTGTATCCTGTATCGACTAGATCAAAGAGAAAGGACTTTTAAAGAAGGCACACATCAGCTTTGATGTCGCTGCCATGTGATCTGGATGCTGGCTGCTTCGAAACCGCAGTATTACACTGCAAAATGAAAGTGTTTTTGTCTCGTTTTTCAGTAAAATATCTAAACATTCTTAAATTAAGGTACTTGGGGATTAAGAAGCAAAAGACACATATGATTAGTCTTTTTCTGAAGAAAAAAAAGATCAAAATTAAGTGACTTTATGCTTTAAACAATAACAAATATCTGTCAGTGGGGTAAGAAAACTAAAACTTGTTTTCTCTTTGAATGAAGTTTATTTTTTCTGACCAATGTGGCTGATGTTTTTATTAAATTCATTTAGCTATTATTTTCCAAAAGAAAAAGGGAAAAAAGACTTATTACCTTCTCACATAAACGTTTCTTGATTTAAAAATGTTTAGATATTTGTACCAGTGTTATTTTAGTGTCATTGAGATATATTGTAGTTTTTGTTAATATTTTTAAATAAATTAGATTTTATTTATATATTTTCTGCTTTCATGTTGTGTGTTTTTGTTATTTGTTATGTTTCACTAGAGACCTTATTTACTGTGCTACAGAAATGGTGAAAAGTGATAGTAAATAGATAATCATGAATTTGTCATTTTTTTGTTGTTTTTATGTCTATATATATACTTTTTTATTAATTTTTATTTTAGTACATCAAGTTAAACTAAATAAAAATGAGAAATGTTGCATAAGAATAAGTGATTTTTTTATATATTTTATTTTATTTGAGTTAATATTTATTTTATTTCAAAAAAGAAAAAAGAATTGTTTTAGTTAACTAAAATAACCCTGATTTGTACAGTAAAACAAGACAAACATACTGAGTAATAAAACACATTTTTGCAGTGAAAACTTCTAAACTAGTTTATATTTTAATGAAATATACTAATAGATTATTTCATTTCCATTTAAGCCTTTGGCAGGTGTACATTTTATCAATTAATTTAGCCAGCAATTCCTATTCAGACAGCTTCATTATGTTTGATGCAGAACAACATAGTGACTGTACTAAGTAGCATAAACCAGCATAAACTACTACATTTAGTCAGTACTGAGTCATGAGTGAAATCTGGTCTCTTAGACTAGATGGGTTCGACTCAACTTTGATCAGAAATCTGATGTAAAATCATCAAAAAGTAATAATGAATAGACATTTCTCTGTATTGTCGTAGTTACAGCATTTTGCCTTTATAGGCCCAAATGTGTTTGTGTGTGTACAATTTTGGAGCACTTGTGTAATATTCTGGATTGAATGTATGCTTGCTTATTTTAGGTGTCCTGGTTCTTCCAGATGGAGCTCTCTTAATAGGCTGTAGAGTTCTGAGATCTCTCTGTGTGTGTGTGTGTCTGTGTGTGTGTGTGTGTGATGCTGGTGTCCCTCCCTTACTGCTTGGATATGTGTGATTTTCATTGAGGTTTCCTCATGTGCAGTACGTATGAAGTATGGGACTGAGTCTAATAAACAGCAGCTGTTGCTAAGGTCATACTGACTTCACTCAGCCCTTCAGAGAAAATTACAAGACCAGAACTGCTCGTTTCCTCAGCCTTATTTCACGTGGGATACAATACATGTAGAAAAGAGTTTGATGAAAGTGCTGCTCGTCTCTACTGAGATGTTAGGGCATTGTGACTGGTTGCCAGGGCATTGCTATGTGGTTGTTAAGGACGTTTTTGGTCATTTTTAATGCTGTTGTTTTTTTTAGCACGTTACATGTAGAACAGTATTTAGTGTGTTCTGACTGATTGTCAGGGTGTTGCTATGTAGTTGCAATAGTGCTGTGTAATGTTGCCAGGACATTACTAAGTGGTTTTCTAAGGTGGTTTTAAGCATGTTTTTATGCAGTTGCCAGGGTTTTCTAAATGTTTTTTTTAGCATGTTGTTGTGTAGTCACTAAGGGGTTCAGATTGGTTACCAGAGTGTCGCTATGCAGTTGCTGTGGTGCTGTGGATTGTTTCCAGGGTGTTGCTATGTTTGTTTCTTGCATGTTGCTATTTAGTAGCCAGGGTGTTCATATCGGTTGCCAGAGTGTTGCTATGCAGTTGCTGTGGATGGTTGCCAGGGCATTGCTATGTGGTTTCTAAGGTGTTTTTAAGCATGTTTTTATGCAGTTGCCAGGGTTTTCTAAATTTTTTTTAGCATGTTGTTATGTAGTCACTAAGGGGTTCAGATTGGTTATCAGAGTGTCACTATGCAGTTGCTGTGGTGCTGTGGATGGTTGCCAGGGCATTGCTGTGTGGTTTCTAAGGTGTTTTTAAGCATGTTTTTATGCAGTTGCTAGGGATTTCTCATTTTTAGTATGCTACTATGCAGTGGCAGTTTGTTCTTATTGTTTACCAGGGTGTTGCTATGTGCTGTCTGGTGATTTTAAGCATGTTTTTATGCATTTGCTAAGGTTTTCTTCTCTTTATTTAACATGTTGCTGTGCAGTAGTTAGGTGGTTCTGACTGGTTGTCAGGGTGTTGCTATGCAGTTGCGGTGGTGCTGTGTGTGTGTGGTTGCCAGGGCGTTGCTATTGTTGCAAATTTTTCTTTGTTGTTTTTGCATGTTGCAATGTGGTTCCTAGGGTTTTGTTCAGCTGTTTTCTGGTCCAGCTGGTGGAAATGCTAAAGTAGCAGCACAGCTCTCATGATTTGAGGAATCATTCATGTCTGGAGCCGGATGATGATCACACTCAACTTTATTACTCACTGTTAGAGATTTCATCACATCTTTGATAAGGAATGACTGCTCTTTGTGTGTGTGTGTGTGTGTGTGTGTACCTGGTATTTATCACGTTATGGGGACCAAATGTCCCCACAAGGATAGTAATACTAGTAAATTTTGACCTGTGGGGACATTTTTTGAGGTCCCCATGAGGAAACAAGCTTATAAATCATACAGAATGAGTTTTTTTGAGAAAGTAAAAATGCACAAAGTTTCCTGTGAGGGGTAGGTTTAGGGGTAGGGTTGGTGTAGGGCAATAGCACATACAGTTTGTACAGTATAAAAACCATTACACCTATGGAGAGTCCCCATAAAACATGGAAACACAACATGAGTGTGTGTGTGTGTGTGTGTGATGAACGGCAGTGTGAGATGTGATTGTGTGTGTTTGGATGGGGTTTG